TTCCGATCTCACGGGGACAACGACGAGAGGAGCTCCGCAGTGGTTGGTGCTGGTGTGAGTGGATCTCCGCGGTGTTGCTAGCTCACGGGGAGCTCTTCTGTGCGACGGTTCGTGGCTTTGGGCATGGAGATGTTGAAGCGGCCAGCTTGGACAGATGAACCATTGAGAACCCTCCATTTGGCATTTCACAATCCTAAGCACCGGAGCTTCAGGAAGGAACGATTCTAAAAAATTTCAACTTTTTTTTGCCACGTAAGAACACTCCAATGGCAATTTCTTATTAGGTATGTCCCTTATTTTTAAGATACACCTTAAGCAACTCCCATTGGAGTTACTCTAATACATAATCCAACATGGCTTCAATTGTCAATGAAAGCAACCAATAGAAAACACAGTTCCTAACACCAGGAGCCGTAGGATTTGTAATGGCCAAAAACACACGGATGGCGTTTTATATCAGTCCGATCAATCTCCAACACCCCCATCTGCACCCAATATATAGGCCTATCATTCCAAACGATTTGAACCTTTGCATTCTTTTTTTCTAGATTTTGCAACTCAGGTTCGGGAATAGAGACCAAAGTCTTTTGATAACTATCATTTTAGTTTTTATTTTTGTATTCGACACTATTATCTTTAAATTTAATAAAATTTATTTATAGAGGCACTGTAAAAAAATAAATATATAGAAGTGCCTCTTTTTATACTAGTATGAATAAAAGGCATTTAGAAATTTGAAGAGATTTACTACTACATTACTCCCTTCAAGAAAAAAGCACCATGTAAAAAAGAAAAAAAACAAACATACCCAATTGAATTGACCAATTATTCTCAACCCTGTACCCATTTCCCCAAGATTTTAAAACCTTAAACCCACTCTCACTTCAATTCAATCACACTTTAACGCCCCACCCACTCCACACACCTCTTTTTATTTCGATTCCACTCTGTTCCAACCAAAACAGAGGCCTTTTTCTTCACAAACAGTTACTTTCCTCAACTGGGCCGCTGTTTCTTCCACTCATGTCATTGACTTTGGATCCCAAAGTCAGCCACAAACCCCAGTAACCAAAGGAGGGTCAATTTTAGAATCATGGTTCGTACCTCACACACCCCAAGAAAAAAAATCTGATTTTTCCATCATGGAGGCGTTCTTTTCTGATTAGGTATGTGGGTTTTTTCTTGGAAGATTGGTGATGGGTTTTGATCAAGTTTTAATCTATTTGGGTTTGTTTTGAGGAGCGTTTTTGTTGCTAATGCTTGGTTGATGTTTTCATTGATTGAAAAATGAAAAGGGTGGTGGGAAGGGGGAAGTGTGCATCTTTTTTATATGTTCATGTTTGATAAGTAGTGCAAAATGAATGAACAATTAGTTGATGTCGATATATATATATATATATATATATATATATATATATATGTTAGTCATCTGAAATGCTAATATATACTAGTTTTTTAATATTATTTTAACAGGTTAATATATGATTTTTTAAAATATATTCCTTTAAAAATTATATTTCTATATGCTAGCAAACGTATTTTAATAAGTTCAGAGTTTTAACTTCTTAAAGTAAACCTTCTAAAAATAATTAAAATATATTATCAAACTCTCTCACACTATCATGCGCATGAATCAATTGATACGTAGTAAATATTAGCTATATTAAAATTTTAAATAAGTGATTATGTTAAAAAATTAAAATAAAAAAATTTTTGTCATTCATAATAATCTTACTGAAGTAGAGTACGATTATTTCTCATTGAGAAAATTAACACATGTTCTTTGAAAAGTATATATAACTTTTTCTCTGTCTCTCTCTGTCTATTTATAGAGAGAAGAGTAATAAACTTAATTCAAATCAAATGAGAAAATAAAAAAATAAAAAAAAATAAACAATATTAATCAAGATTTTATATTCTTATCTACTAATTCACTTTCTTATGAAGATAAATCGTTGAAAACGAAAATATATTTGACAATTCAAGCAAATACATAATGAGTAATATATATCACAAGTGTTGTGCACGTGTTGGTGTCAAAAACGTATTTGACAATTCAAGTAATTAAAGTGTTTGTGCTTGATAGACAAATAATGGAGTTCCTAATTAATTATTTTTGCTAAATAAAGATTGTCTGAATTTTTTTATGGGATATGAATTTGAGTGGATGACTATATAAGTAAAATCTTGCGGTTTAATTTAGTGAAGTAATCTCCCTTTATTTTAGAAGACATACTCATCAAACTATAAATGTTGTTATAAAGTTATAGTTTGTTTTATAAAAACAAATTATTTAAACTTTTGATAATAAAAATGGCAAAAGGAAATTAGAGAGCAATAAGATGAAGAAAGTATTTATCTTATAGCATTACAATATCCCAAGGGCGAGAAGCTTTGGTAGGATCACTATTTCTCTGTGAGAGTGCCCTACATGCCACAAAGCCTCCCAAGCCTACAACAAATTATTATTGGATTAATTGGTATCATATTAATTTATGCCAATTAATATATAACTTCATGTAAGCCAAAAAAAAAAAAAAAAAAGCGAGTTAAAATAGTATACCAATTGGAGCAATAGCAGAATCTGAGCCCCCACAAAGCATAAGGTCCTGTAGTAGTTACTTGAATTTTCAATATCTTTCAATAAAACTACTATAGAGTTATATAGACTTTAGAAATAAAAAGTCAACAGAAATTTACTATAAATTTATTTGAGTACAATGTTTTTAAGAACTTATTTACTAAAAAATACTCTTTATATTTAATAGAAAAGTGATCTTTAAAGCACATATAATTTATGTTTAAACAAATGTTGAAGTGAAATACTTACGGCTTCACCTTGAATGATATGGTTTGCAGCATTTAATATACAAAAATTACTGGTAGCACATGCTGTAGAGATTGAGTAATTAGGACCCATCCAACCCTGAAATTTATACAATAAATTAATGAATAACTTGTTAGAAGATAGAAAATCATGTATAGTATCTAATTACCCATGATATGTGCTAAATTTTATACACAAACCAAATCCATCGCGAGTATGGCAGAACCCATATTTGTTGCTACAAACGGTATGGTAAAAGGATTTATCTTCTTATGCGAGACTCGATAAGCTTCACAAGCATCATAACCAACCTATTCAACACAAAAGAAAAGCTAATTAAATGGTTGATAAATCAAACCAGTCATGCAATGTTTTGATTGATATACAAAGAGATTAGATAGTTCGAAACGAAATAAAACGGATCAAAATGAAACATAATGAAATAAAATATCCATTCCATTCTTTAGATATATGTTACCACTACTACCAAAAGGTTAAATAGCGACCAAAAATATTCGATCGTGACACATATTGTGATAGATTTCACATTTTTAATACTCTTTACAAGTAAGACCCACCCAAACATAAGGCTACCCAAGTCTTAACTTTAGGCTCCAAAATATTTTTTTTACTTATAGAACTTAATGAATCAGCTGTATCAATATTATTTTTGGTTTGTTGGTCATTATCTAAACTTAGCATTGTAAGATTTGGGGTTTGATTCTAGTATTATAATTTTTTGTTGAAAATTCCTTTTTTTTTGTTGAAAATTCTTTTTTTTTTTATGGGTAACTGTTGATTCTTTTGCTAATCTCTCATCTTTAAAAAGGTTCAACTTCAAAACTCGTTTTAGGCCTCAAAATATGTTGGACTGACCTTTACAAGAAATGTTACATACAATGACATACAAAAAATGACACTATAAGTATAATATATGTAGATATACATCTATTTGACATATAGCTATACATAATTTTAATGTTGATTTTGAATGAAATTTAACAATATATTTTGTGTGTTACTATAGTTTATACCCACACTTTTTAATAATATACTAACATATATTATATTTATTGTATGGATAAAAATAATTTTTAATAATAAATATTGTGTTACTATAAAATGTGTGTTACTATATAATAATGTTTTTTTTTAGTGGTACTGGTTGAATAAAATGTTTTTAGTAATCAAATTTAGTAATGATAGTATATTGTAGAGTGATTTTTACCCGCATGCCACCCATTGCTGAGCCAATCAAAATGCCACATTTTTCTTTATTTAACCCATTCATTATGTCTTGAGTAACTCCAGCATCAACCAATGCCTTTTTCCCTGCTGTTAGCAAATATATCATAAATTTATCCATTCTCCTTGAAAATTTTGGTGCTACCCAACCGTCCGTTGGGAAAGATTTGATCTCGCCAGCTATTCTCTGGAAATGGAAACATGTGCAGAACATTAAGAACAAGAAATACACCCCACCATGCAACAACTAAGAACATAGTTTGAGTGAAATATTGTGATTTACCGTTGGAAATTGTGTACAGTCAAAAGAGTGGATTTTGCTTATCCCACTAACACCTTCAAGTAAATTATTATACAAGACATTTGGATCGTGACCAAGTGGTGTAACCACACCCATGCCCGTCACAACTACTCGCCTCTTTTTCATACGTGGTTTTCTCATTGTAGCTTCTTCACTAGGTTCCATTGCTATAGCCATTGCTTTACCTTCAACTTTACAAATGCAAGCCGCATTTCAATGATACAAGACATTGATTATAAACTCTTTAAAAGATGTATATTTTAATTAGTTAAGAGTAAATAGTATTAAGTATGAGAGAAAAGTGATATACAACATGCATTCTAATTGATTAAGAGAAAAACTAATATTAATTAAGAGAAAAAAGTAGTATAAAAATAATTTTAAAAAAAACAAATATATTATTATTATTAATATTAATTACTTTTTTTAATCTTGATGAATTAGGTATTAGGAATACTTCTTTTGGTCCTTAATCATAAGTCATTTATTTGAATTCAATAAATAATAAGTGAAATACATTATGTTTTAGTGTCTTTTGATAAAGAAGAGTTTAACCTTCTCTCTTCCTATGCAGAGTATTTTGGACACATTATTGCTTTTACAAGAAACTGTATTGTATGAAGAGAAGATATAAGTCTATGTAATTTGTGACTATATTTTCGCTGCATTGATTTTATTGTATAGGTTGAGATTTTTTTATATGTATTGTTATTGATGGACCTAATGAGGAGTTTGTGGATTATATTTTTAAGACTATTTATCTCGAATAGATATTTTACTTTTAAAAAATAAATAAATGAACTCATAATACTTAAATACATTATAGATATAGATAAAAAATAATTATAAAATCTATTTACCCTTATATGCCCTAGAACACAACATAACAATTTATCCAAATTAGCTACGGTAAGGTATAATAAGTTGTAAATTGGAATAGAGAATTAAGTTTCTAAGAATGATATTAATAATAATCAAAACGCACATTTATAACTATAATAATGAGGATTGGACTTTAGTGTAAACAATTTTTATCTAATTTTACTCTTATAACTATTCTTTTGTAAATTAATTTTTTTTATTCTTTTATGTAATTTTCACTCCATAATTATTCACTATTACATAATTTTATTATTTATTATTTATTATTTTTTAAAAATAATTAGTGGAGGTATAAAATGTTTTTTTGTATGCTAGTGTATACTAATATATAAAAGAGATACTTTTTTTAGTAATTTTTGGTCTTTGATAGAACATTATATCCTTCTATTATTAAAAAAAAATTAATAACTTAGTAATTATTTAAGTAACAACCATTCTCTTTTAATAACTACCCACTCTACTATTTTATTACTTAATAATTTTATTACTTAACAATCTCATTTTTATTTTATTTTTAATTTTTTAAATGAAATATAAAGGTACAAATGTTTCGCGACCCCACTAATATCTATACAAGGAATACCAAATCATTTAACCACTTTTGTATGTCATGGATGGTTATCCGGTGATGTTTGCGTAATGTAATTAAAATGATATTCTAATGGTGTTTTTTAATGTTATTAGATTTAAAATTAAAAGAGAACAACTTCTTTTATATAAATGATAAGGTATTTGATCTAATAATAAGAATGATACAATCATCATCGCTTCTATTATTGCTATTATAATATTTATGTAATAAAGAAAACAATAGTGATAATATTAGATGATGATAGTTGGGGGAGACAACAATAATAATTCATAGAATTAATTTTTATAATCATGTATTTGTATGTGTATCTACTCAATAATACATACTATATATTAAATTTTAACAATCTAATTATTATTTCAAAAGTATTTATTACAAGGTTTAAAAATTATTTTATATTTTTTTATATAAATTTAAATAAACTTATAATATATTTTTAATGAATATACTAAAAGGGATAATATAAGGATTATAAGATTTTTTATGTACACATTTTGTATCTAACTTTATCAATTTAACTATTCCTTTGTAAATCACTCTTTTAATTCTTCCCAATAAATTTCACTCCATACACAAATCACCCACAGCATTTGATTAATTACCCACTATTATATGATTCTCAATTTATCATCTCTTTCTTTTTAAATTTTTTACTTTTTAAAAAAACACAGGCAATTTCCTAGTATTTACTTAAGAGAAATTTAGTTAAGAGAAATTCTACTATATCCTTATATATTTAAAAGGTTTTAAAATTATTTTTATTTTTTCAAAATATGTGAATATTTGATTTAGCATTGTTTGATTTTTAAAATGTTTATTTTTTTCATTTTAATATATATTTTCTTAAAATTCTTAATATATATACAAAATATTTGGATTTAGAAATAATATTTTTGATATATTATAAGTCATGATAAATTGAGATTTTTATACTTATGAAAAAATTATAAAGAGTTTCCTCAATTTCAACAAATAGAATCTTATTCTGTTTTTCTCAAAATTATTTTGATTCCTACAAAACAATTTGAAACACCTGAACCAATTATTTATAAGAAGAAATAGTAAGTTAATTACTTAGATCATCTGTTTATCAAAAACACATCACTTAATGTTGAGACAAAAATGAAAGTAAAATAGTAAAAATAAATACGTATTACATTAATTTTATGAACTTAAAAATTGAGTGTATCAAAACATTATAATTTACAAGAGTATCATAGTGACTCCCTTTAATTAAACTACAAATAAATAAATTACCAGAAGGGAGCAATCGATAACGTTGGTTCCCATGGCGGCGATGGTGGTTGTTCCTCTGAGTGAGCACCAGGAACGTGAAGGGAGAGGCCACCAAAGACATGTTGAAAACGAGATATGTAAGCAAAATATTTAAAGCCAAAGTTGAATGAAATCGAACATCACACCCAATCCATTTCTTATATATGTGACAACTCGATAAGGGTCGTAATTAATATTGTGTAAATACTAGTTAATATTATACCTATCTGTCTGCTACCTACAACAACTTTAATAAACACACTTTCTTAATTGACATGAACATCTATAACTATATAACTAATTAACATGAACACGTTGCCCCTTCCATCATCAAACAACAAACCCACTCTCATCTACCATATTGAAGACTGATAATGTAAGAGCAGCAAAAAGGTTAAAGAAGGGTTATTAAGAGTACAGTTGCTTACCAATAAAAATTATTTTGATATATCGCATGTTATTTTGTATTGTGTAAAATTAAAAAGATTTACTTATATAAATGATTTTTTCTTGTAAGTTGTTTAGCATTTTGTTACAAAAACATTGTTATACACTAACATATACTCTATAGTGATATATATTCTATAGTGACATAATAGTTATTACTGAAAATTACTTTTACTTATACTATAAATAGAATATATGTTGGTATATTGTGTAAGTATAAGTTATAATGACACACAATATATGTCGTTAAATCTCATTTAAAATTATCACTAAAATTATGTGTAACTGTATATCAAATAAATTTATGCAAGCATATTTTATGTTTATAGTGACACTTTTTGTATGTTACTATATGTAATATTTGTTGTAGTGTTTATGTGCTTACATGTAGGCGAGAGTATGATAAGAAAAAATTATGTTTGTAAGTTAAGAATTTTTTAATAGAAACGTTGCTTAAATTTGAGGTGGGTTGCTTATTTGAAAAACATTAGAAATGCTTCAAGAGAATTAAATTATTTTGTTTGAGTATAATTCCATACATTGCTAATTTAAAAAATTAATCTTCAATCAACTATAAATCTTTTAGAGAGTGTCTGGTACAAAGAATATGTTTTATGTTTTCAGGAATTTGAAGTAAAAAAAATGTTAGTTTCTTATATTCTTAATATTTTAAAAAATAATATTTTTTTAGAAATATCATTTTCTAAGAATGTATTTAATTCATATTTTTCACAAAATTGTTCGGTAAGTGAGAATTTAATGTTTTGAGTTAAAAAGAGTTTTATTAGGATTGAAATATCACGGTACTTTATTTGTATATTTAATGCTATAAAAATCATTTATTTTTAATTAAAAAATAATTTCCAAAGACATATATGACTACTCAAACACATTTTTATCATTTTAAGAAATCATAACTATCGAGATTTATTCATATAAATCGTGATTTTTAAGCATAAAAAAATTTCCTTATGCCCAACATCCTCTTAGAGGACATTCTTATGCAGCAAAAAATTTTATGTTCGAGAATCATAAATAGTAAAAATTATATTCCTAGGAATCATGATCTCAAACATGAATTTGTGACTAAAGGTATTACTATATGAATAATTTTAACTTTAAATATATTAAACTTATGTAAATAATTATTCAAAAATAATTTCATTTCTAATTTATATGTATAAAGGATATAATATTAAAAATTAAATACAATGTAAAGAACAAATATTTATTTTGTGTAATTATTATCTAAAAACGTCATCTCTAACAAATAATTACTAAAAAAAATCATCTATGGAAGAAAATTTAAATTTATAATACAGTAGTAGATAGTCGATTCTACGACAGTGTTAAAACACTTATATTCTAATGAAGTTTATTTTATTTATAACTTGGGATTGATTATTTTTAATAGTTATTCAAACGAGATATTAAATGATTATGAATGATTATTTAAAAAAGATATGAAAAGTTATTTTTTTAAAACATTTAAGAAATATAATATTTTATTTAAAAAATAGAGATTAAAAACTATTGTTATATCATTAATATAAAAGAGACATTTTACGTCTGTTATTTTAGATTTTTTACGTCAAAAAATAGTCCGATGTTAATGCAAGAGACGTAAATTTACGTCGATTGTAATATATCTGACGTAAATTTATATCGATTGTGATATGTCTGACGTAAAATTATTGCCAAACATCCACAAGAACGACACATAGAAAGACGTACAAATTGACCCAATAAATTACTAAACCTAAAAAATGTTTAGTACTCTAGTTCAATACCCATCAAGTAACAAGCATAAATATATTTTCTAGAATTCGTACATATGCAGCAATCCAAAAACGACTTCGTAGAAGCCAAACTGAGTTTTGGCAAAAGATGATTCAAGAATTGAATGTGAATAAGGAATGCATGTATCCAAAATAAATAAAGAGGAAAAAGAAAGGCAACGAGAAAGGAAGGAAGGAATGACGAACGAAGAAAGGAAGGAAGAAACCCTAACTTTAAATTGTCCAAAACACAGAAAATGCCCAATCCAATCGGTGAGAAAGATCTGGAATCACCCACGATAGTCGAGAAACCGTTCGTCGGAAAGCACATTGACCGAAAACACCCACACTAAGTCGACGAAGCCTCGCCGGAAATCGCCCCATGAATAGAAACCCTCCTATGTTCTGTAAAACTGGCTGCGCGAAGAAGATGAAGTAGCTAGAGGGAAATAAAAAGCTCTTTTACGTCAAACTACATTTGGGACAACGTAAAATTGATAATTTACGTCGGACATCAGTCACATTTGACGTAGATTTTAAAATTTACGTCGATCCTAATATAATCCAACGTAAAAAAGTTTATTTTATTTTTAAAATTGCCACCATATTTTTTTTACATCGAATATTTTTATGTTTGATGAAAAAGCAATGATGCAGATTTTATATTTTGTACTAGTGTATGTATCATTCCTTTCCTTTTTCTTTATAACAGGTTGGACGACGGAAAGGACATGTTATAAAACCTATCGGTGTGGGTGTGGGGTTAAAGCTTGTGAGCAATGTGAACGTGTAATAAAATTTGACAGATATTCCATAACTAGGTAGGTTGTTGAAAATGAATATCATGATAGAGAGCGAGACTGTTTTATATATCTTTCAGGCAACCACCTCTATTTTATTATTTTTTTAATCGGATATGTATAGCCATTTTTTCTTTTCACATAAAGATATAGTTTTATTATGAATACATTATATTTTTGTCTTTCATTTTATTTTATTTTTAAATTTATTTTGATTATTTATCTATTAAAATGTTCATTTTTATTTTTATTTTTTTTATATTTGAATTATTTTAATCATTTTAAAACATATTGATCATTTTCAATTTTACGATACAATTTTGAATTTACTTTTTATTTATTCAAGATGTGTAACTTGTAATATTAGATTCATTCATATAAAGTCCGATTGACGCTTTAATTGAAAAGGAATATAAACATAGTGAAAATTGTCTGAAAAATATATCTCATAAATAACTAAATAATAATATTAAACCGAATTATTTTAATTTTTTTTTATTTTCACCATGTACATAATACTTTTAGTTTGAACTTTAATTACTTTTGATAATTTTTAAATAATTCAATCAAATGAAACAAGTTTCAAGTCTTGAAATAGTAAAAAAAAAAAGAGCTTAAAAGAACTAAATTGATTTAAATTTTTTTCGTTTGTGAGAGTGGTGTCTTTATCTGCCTAGTGCGGTGTGATTTCAAGTTGAAATTGGTGGAATGTATTATGGGGAGAGAGCTATAAGTGTGAATGAAGAACTTGTCATTATTCAAAGATTAGGATGAGGGGTTCAATTTTATCATATTATTAATTGAAAATGAATGATTGAAAGGGGGTCAGAGATGTTTGATACCATTTTGTTAGTTCTTAATTAGTACCATCAAGGAGGGTGATGTTCTTGGAGAAATTCCTCTCCACCATATACCATTATAGATAAAAGTCCATAATGTCCCAGTGGGGTTCATGTATACAGCAACAGTGACCTAGCTATCGAGGAGTCCAATATGATGAGAAAAATAATTCAAGTGGTTGGGGTTCTTATATGCATATTAGGGTAAACCTTGATGTTAGGGTGCCACTTAAGAAAGAAAAGAAGGTAAAGAAACTCGGAGGAGATTGAAAACAAGTGATGTTCAAATATGAAAGGTTGGGTCAAGTTTGTTATCTTTGTAGTTGTCTTGACCATAACGAACAATTTTGTGAAGTTATTCTAGTAAAGCCTTCTCCCATACTTCGTAAAGGCACTATGTGTTTGCACTTAAATATACCATGTTATCTTATACTTAGTGTCACATTAATTCTATTAAGATAGAAAAATATTATTATTTAATGTGTTAACTATTGTATAATGTACTTGAAAATTATTTTTTTCTAAATGGAAAACAATATTTTTTTTCTTCATAACACAAAAATTTCTTTTGAGCCTTTTTTTTTACCCACTCCTATGTTGTAACATTTGTTTACCTACAAAACTTTCTTTTGGGCATCTTTTTTTTTTATTATTTTTATTTACAACAAGGAATTCACCCAATCACCCTCAATTTAATTGATAAATCTGGAACAGGAATTAATTAATTTCTAGAAATTTGTTTATAACTTACTTTTAGATAGTATTTTCTAGAATAATAAATACAACTTAATATTAGTATTGATTATTGGTTGATTATGTACATATTTGGATAAGAGCATCAAAATGGGCCTAGGATACTATTGGGCCTATGGGTTGCAAAAGGCACTGGCCCATATAGTTTCAACGGATCTGAGTGATCTGACACACCCTCTTTAATTGCACTTGCACTTGCACCTACCCACCCAAACACTGATATGAATGAACGAACCAGAAAATAGGAATTTCCTTGCCCTCTTTAATTCACTCATGGCAAGACCAAAAGAATGAACAAGTCTTCTTCTGGCGTTCTTCTCGCACGCGCGCTCTCACCATGCGATGCTTTCGTTTCGTAATATTTAGGAGCCAGATTTTGAGGTCCTTCTGATGGAAGCCAAGTCCATGGCACTGCAATTTGTTCCTCTTCTGCTTCCTTTGCTTGCTGCTGCTGTTCATGGAGTCGCTTCCAATGCGGTCAGTGTATTATATCGTTTTTTTTTTTTTAATTTTGAAGAAGTCGTTATTTTACTTGTTCTTTCATTTTCTGCAACGAGTTAGGAAATTTAAATGTTTTATGCTTTGAACCAATTGTGGAAGCTTTGTCTTGCTTGTAGACACTGAACGAGACTTGTGGATACTTCAATGGTTCTTTCAATAGAGACACTACAGGTACGATTTCTTGTATTATTTAACTAAATCTGCATAATCGATGTTTTAGAGATTATTATTATTGTTATACCCCTACGATTCAAAACGATTGAGGCTTGAGGTTTTGCACAATGATTATGAAAAGTTCATCGTGGTAAGGTTGAATTTGTCAATAGTTGAGTGTTTTAATGCAAGGTAATTAAGTCAGATGTAGTTGCATTTACTATAATTGGGATTATTTAAAGCTGTTAGTCCATAGGTTACCTAATTACATTAAAGAGTAGGATTACTATTCACATAATTGTAGTCAAAGATGAAAATTGATCTGTGTTGAACATAATACGTTAGTAATTTATGTAGTTGTCAGCTGGTTTAAACCATAGGTTTAAGTTGTGCGTTATCGTGCTGCAATTGCGGCAGTTCCGCGTTGTAACGGAGATTCAAGTTCCTGGCAATAGTGAGCAGAGCAGCTCCTCTTTCAAGGAGGCATGAATTTGTTTTAGTTTTTCAGCAAGTCAGGGATGTTCTGCAACTTCTAGCCGGCAAGGCAGGGATATTAAGCGAATATAATTCAGCTGCAATTGTGAATCTTTGATCCACTCTTAGTTACTAAATAATTTAGTTAATAACCAAATATGTTATAACTCATTAACAACTAAGTAAAACATACAAGGCTATCTAATACACAAGCTAATTACTAGAGAAGCAACTAAATATAACTAATTGTCAAGTTCTTTCTCCTGAGTGAGTTTGTATCTATATGCAAGTTTATGGTCACATCCTAATAGCCAGAAGAATGATTTAAGAACTATTATGCCATGGTACATAATGTTTCTTAATTTTTATAATTACATGTATTCTATCTAAATTTTAACACGTTACATCAGATAATGCTTGAAGTCACATTTTGATAATGACTTCTATACTTTGTCTCGATAGACTTTGAATTCTAATTTATTACTCCTTGTTCAGTAACATGCCCAATTGGTTGGGTTATGGACCCTAACAAGACCAAGTGCTTTCTCCATGTTGGGAGGCTTCAATCTTGGAATGACTCAGAGACGTGTTGTAGTAAGTATGGTGGACATTTAGTGTCATTAACATCGCTTCAGGAGCTAAAATTTGCTCAGAGCCTATGTGGTGATTCTAAAAATAGTTGTTGGATTGGTGGACAAAAACTCAACTCTACATCTGGTTATCAGTGGATGTGGTCTGACAATTCACAGTGGAATAACTCCATATTATCTGTGGATGATGTTCCACCCCATTGTAATGGAACTGGACCAACCTGCAATACGAACAGTACAGACAATTTATGTACAGCAATGACTAATAATTCAAACTCTCTCATGAGTGAGAGATGTGACAATCTTCATGCTTCTCTATGTATACTTGATATAGGTATGTTCTTGTTGTATATATCACTGCCAATTCTCATTTTACATTCATTAGAAATTCATTATATATATTTTCCAATTATTTTTATTCTCTCTTAAAAGATGTTTTATATTTTTGAGAAATATTTTACATTTTTCTTATGTTATTGTTTTCCTCTCCTTTTCTTTTCTGCTATCTTTATTAAATTTTTTTAATCATCATTGCTGACTAAAATGTTTACTGTTTTCTTTCATTTCAGATACAAAATGTAACCATATGCACTGCCACAGGGAATACCTAATCATCCTTGCAGTGGTGAGTGCCTTGATACTTTCCACAACATTAGCCGTGGTAGTTTGGCTTCTTGTATATAAGCGGGGCAAGAAAAGAAGGCGGTCTAGAAAATTATATATTCCAGGAGCTTCTCTTCCATCATGGAAAGTCTTCACCAAGGAGGAATTAAGGTCGATTACAAAGAATTTTAGTGAAGGTAACCGTCTTGTTGGGGATACCAAGACTGGTGGTACATACAGTGGGGTTTTATCTGATGGTTCAAAGGTTGCAGTTAAGAGATTAAAGAGGTCAAACTTTCAGAGGAAAAAGGAGTTCTATTCTGAAATTGGCAGGGTTGCTAGGCTTCGTCATCCAAATCTGGTGGCTGTGATGGGATGCTGCTATGATCATGGTGACCGCTACATTGTTTATGAGTTTGTAGCTAATGGGCCCTTAGATAAATGGCTACATCACATACCAAGGGGAGGTCGCAGCTTAGATTGGGCTATGAGGATGAAAATTGCGACAACACTTGCTCAAGGAATTGCGTATGTTCACAATATACTTTTTCTTTGCTAACTTTCTGCTAAAAGTTTTTGCTCTTGTCAAAATGCATATTTTCACTCAAAATCTTTTGGATACAATTTTCTGTTTCAGTAACTGGGCATTTAGATCACTCTACTTGGGCATTTGCGCATTGTTTATAATTTGTACTGCATTTCAACCTTGAATTATTTGAAGATTGCAAATTTCATATGGGAACATTTAGTTTAATACTTAGGTAGCATTTGGTGCATGGATAAAATGGGACGGAGTGCTTTGCTCCATTCCCTTCTTGGTGTTCCACCCTTATCAATGGAACTGGAGTATTCCATTTTTTTTTTCCAACCGTGTCCTTTTAAGTACTTTCTTTAAAATGTACCAAACATAAAATATAACTTATGTTTTGTCCCATTCTTACATGTCTAAATATCATGGGTCTGATCAATTCAAATCCAATAAAGAACTATCATGTTTTGGATCTTTGTTTTTGCAAAAATGCTCCAGCCATCCTGTTCTTGAATTTTATTTTTACATGAGAGCAATGATCTTCATGATTCTGACTTTTGTTTGTAGGATAGGGATCTCCATTTAACAATGTAAATATTATGATGGAATAGTAGAGTTGAATTAATTAAACTATGCTCTGCTGGTGTACTTGATCATGGAGGGTAGAATTTTAGAGTATGTATTTGGAGATGGATCAGGATCCATTTCCGCACTTGGTCTTGTTAGGATTCATAGCACTGTCAATTAATTAGATGATCATGGAGATCGAGAGAATTAATTACCATAGAATCCAAAATTATTTATGTAGGTGCGTTGATCTTGCATCTATGTCTTTCTTATACTATGAAACCCAGATACTTCAGAAATGGAAAAAAATCGGTGTTGTACCCGTGTCAAATACCGATACTTCTCAGATACTTACGAATACATATCCAAAAAGCATCAATCTTTTTTCATTTATTTTTTTAACTTTTTTTCTTGGATACTTCTTGTATACATATCCGAGAAGTATCCAAAAAGCTTGCCTTAAGCTTCTTGTGAAACCATATTCTTATGTTTGAGAGGAATTAGAGCACACACTCCTCTATTCATTCTTTGAAGAAAAACAAAATGGATCCAAAATGGGTAGGATATTTGGTTTATGTGTATTTGAACCTTTGACTTTTGTCTATGATGAAAGGTATAAAAAGGAGAGGCAAGGTTCTAGCACATTAGTAGATATATACGTCACCCACTTGCTAATGGTGCTAGACTTCTTGAATTGACACAATTGACTCTGGAAAAGCCAGATTTAGAAGCTATGCTTCTAAATGATGGTAAGGGGGAGAGGAGAGTGACACAAATAGCATTAGACAATAATTTAGTAATGATGCTTTTGAGTCCAAGGCTATTGTATAGAGCACATATTTGTTTTAAATTCCAAAGATGCTTTTATTGATATAGTGAACTAAAATTGATTATGGTATGAGCAAAAACCGTATTCTATGTTTTTTTTTTGTTTTGATCACAAATATATTTTTTGTGAATTGCGATCATCATAATTATGAATTAATGAGAAATGATAAATGTGTATTTCTTTATCAATGTTCTACATCTTCATAAATTTTCCTATAACTTTTTAGTAACGTATCTAGGACGTATCGTATCCTTAATTTCAAAAAATTGTTGTGTCTTTGTATCTGTGTCGTACTATGTCATAGTTCTTATATTATGTCTTCATGTTATTAATTATCATTAGAGGATCCTGATCCATTTAGAAAAGAGGAAACAGTTAAGGTGCTTATAAGTGTTGATGAGGTTTCAATTCAATGTTATCAAATAACCATTATGGCGCTGCCATAAAGGTATAACGTGGCGTTTTTGAACCCCTCCACCATTCGCTATCCGTTATTTCCCGTTATATCGCGGCGTCTGCCATATCCGCCATGGAACCTGCCATATCTTCCATGGCCATGGCGCTCATGGCGGAATTCCTCCTCATCCTCTTTTTTTTTTTTTTTCCTCATCTTTTCTCTTGTGAAGCTCCTATATTGCGAACAAAGAACCATGATGAACCTTCTTAGGCCACCAGCCTCCTGCGACCTGAACCATAGCGGCCTAAGCTCCATAAAGTTTTCTGGCCAACAAATCCGGTGACCCATAAGAGTTCTTTTTGTTTTCTGTTTGTTTTTTCTTCTTCCTTCCATTTCTTTATTTTTCTTTGTTTTTTTCCATCTATTTTTCATTTCTTCAGATGTTCATCATCTCTTTCTCTCTCTCTCTCTCTCTCTCTCTCTCTCTTGTTTTTGTTCTCAATTTTTCAAAATTTTGGAATTTAGTTATCTATATTTTAGAATTTCATTATCATGTTCTGTTATGTTGTTTTCTATATTAAACCTATAATGTTGTTCCCAATTTTGTTTCACTTATAGCACAATGGTAAGCAGTAAGCACCCAACACTAAAGTCATGCATCCTAAAAGTCTATTTTTTTATTTTTGGTTTTGTTTTTAATATATATATATATATATATTATTTTTGTCTGCCATGCCATCTGCCATATGTTTATGGCGGATTTTTGGCTTACCGTCATAGACCATTATTCGTTATTGATAACCTTGTTTCAATTTTCTTTTTATATGATATGTGCTATCTACAGTTTCCTTATCCATCACCAGCACAGTAATTAAGGTTTGTTTAGTATCATCTTCAAGGACTTTTTCCGGGAGGGTCAAATAAAGTTGCTTTACTTTATTGTTTTTGTCTGAAGCATCGATACTAAAAAATTCATGTCGTTTACGTACTGGGTATGTGCTTGTACCCAGTACACATTGGGTGCTCGTGAATACATACCAGGTACCTGCCCAAAATATTTTTTCAAAAAAAAAGTGGTTACTTAATTTGGGTGAACATGGGTACTTGTGTATGTATCAAGCCTGTGCCCAAGTCTAATAAATAAAAACTATATCATTCAACAAAAATATTAGGTTTTCAGTAATCATATTTGCTCTCAAAACTTAATTCTTATCTACCAACATGACACAATTCATCAACGACTAAAAATGTAGTTTTTATACATATAAATCTCTGTGCCCTTTTAAGAAAGAATAAGAATTATAAAGAGAGTGAGAACAAAATGTGGGGATGTTGGTGGACATGAATTAGATTCATTTGAATTAGCTGACTGGCTTTTTTTTTTTTTTCCTCGATTGCCAAAGTTGGAAACAATTCTTTTCACTAATGATGGACATGAAAATGATGAAATTGAAATAGTTAGTTTGTTATATCACGATTAAAGTATGATATTATAGTCATGCTTAGGTGTTATAATTTTTGTTGTTGAACATTTACATATTCTTTCATCATATTGAAAATTTTAATATCTTACATATTACAAACTATGCTTATTGGTGGAATTCTTTTATACAATTTACTCATGTTTATATAATTATATACTCCCTCCGTTTTTTTTTTTACGTTTAAGGTTTATGCACAAGAATTAAGAAAATAATTGATATTTTAGTTTTTCAAAGTATTTAATACTTATTTTCCTATTATACCCTTTAGGTGTTGGAGAAGAAATAAGTACATTGAAAATAAATAAATACATTGTTCAGTAAACACACATTAATTATCAAGGGTAAAAATGAAAAGGAAAATTAATAAGTTATTGATTTTAGAAAAATGACAATGAAAAAAGAACAAAAGAATAGTGCCAAAACGACTATTAAAAAAAAACGAAGGGAGTATTTATATATATATATAGGGGTTATAATTACACCGGTGTAACTTTTACTAAATATTACACCGTTCAATAATTTTATATTAATTGTGAATTTTGTAAATCTAGTCATTATATTGAAAGTTCATATTACTTTATACGTGTATATCAAATTTTGTTAAAATTGAACAATTTGAATGTAATCAAAATGTTTATATTTTAGTATATTTAGAAATGAATATATTACGTCAATTTTGTTTTATAAAAATAAAGTATCAAATCATCTTGGATTAATATAAAATTTTGTATATATGATCTAAGAGATATGAACTTTCAATCTAACGTTTGAATTTACAAAATTCATATTTAATATAAAGTTATTGAGCGGTGTAATACTTAGTAAAAGTTACACCAGTGTAATTATAACCTCCCTCATATATATATATATATATATTAAATTATATTAACATACCCGTAACCTAGATTTTTGAAAAATTGTGTATCTCATATTCATACTACTCGGTATTGGTAGTGTACCTGTATCCATGCAACATGTATTGTCCTGTGGAGTAGATTGTCAGATGATTTGTTTTCCTATGATAACCCAGGTTCTATCAACTTGTGGACTTGATTGTTTTCCTTATTGGATATGATTACCTTTATTATGTAAACTCTAGCATGGCCTTTACGCTTTCTAGGATATCGTGAAGAAAAATGATGGTTTTTTGCATGTAGATATGCCCTATTAATTAGCCAAGTAAAATTATGTAAGGGGTAATTTAAGAGAAAGCCACCATCTTTCTATCCAAGAAGATTGAATTGAAGGGGATGAAGAAGAGAGGATGAAGTAAATTGAAATGTCAAGGGGAACCATGTGCTTGTTTATTGAGTTTCTGTCGATGGTGCTCATAATTTTCATTCCCTCAAACAAAATTCCCTTGATTTTGTTACAACGTGGAGATACCAACCAATAAATAAATAACTTCATATTCCACAGCCTTTTTAAACTTAAGTGGATATATTGATTACAGACTATTTTCCCCAATTTCAACAGGTTTCTGCATGACAAGGTCAAACCACAGGTTGTGCACCGAGATATACGTGCTAGCAATGTACTGCTGGATGAGGAGTTTGGAGCACACCTCATGGGTGTTGGCCTATCCAAGTTTGTGCCATACGAGGTAATGCATGAGAGGACTGTGATGGCAGGTGGAACTTATGGATATCTTGCTCCAGAGTTTGTGTACAGAAACGAGCTTACGACGAAGAGTGACGTGTATAGTTTTGGTGTCCTACTACTTGAAATAGTAAGTGGACGTAGACCTGCACAAGCAGTTGATTCTGTGGGTTGGCAGAGTATATTTGAATGGGCAACACCTCTTGTGCAAGCTCATCGCTATCATGAACTCTTGGATCTTCATATAACTTCCTCCTCTTCTAGTATCATCCCAGAGGCTAGTACCATCCAAAAGGTGGTTGACCTTGTTTATTCTTGCACACAGCACGTCCCTTCTATGCGCCCCAGAATGTCTCATGTTGTTCACCAGCTGCAACAGTTTTCCCAGCCACTTGCAAAGTAAGCTAATCTAGTAGTTGTCTTGACATCAAATTTCTGTATTTTTAACTTCAAAGTGGAGGGGTTTTTTTTTTGTTTTTACATATAACAGACATTTATGTACTTTAACCTGCCCTTCTTTAGGGTCCTTAGCTAAATTAAGTGGGAGGTAGAGTTAGAAGAGACAAATTCTGCAGACAATATTTGGAGTCATACATGTAGGGGTAATTGTACTATTGATGGACCCTTTTGTCATTCTTAGCAAAACTATATATAAAAAAAAAAAAAAAAAAAAAAAAAAAAAAGGAAACTGAAGTTTGATGATTGTTTGATGATTACATTTGTTCTTCGGTTGTGTTAATAGTTCAATTATTTAATAATTTTCTAGATAAAGAGTTTGTCGTACATTTAATTATAAAAATTATTAAAATAAGTTGAAAAGGAATTTATTGAAATAAATAAAAATAATTGAAGTTATAATTCATTTTTATAAGTCTAAATAAGCTCTACAGATGTTTTTTGAGGTGCTTCCTTTTTTGTGAAATGGAAGCAGCTTTTTGACGGAAATGAGACTAGGAAATGCAACCTCGTGTTCAGTGTTTGTCACTTGTATTCTGCATGATATTTGAGAGGGAAGCAGAAAGGGTAAGGGATGTCAAGTCTTACAAGAAGTTCACAATTACTGATTTGATTTCCTTATATAAATAAACCTTACGGGCTGGGGCTGGCAACCACCATCATCTTCATCTTTCTGCATCTGGGGGGCTCTCACAATATTTTGAATTAAAAAACATAGAAAGAAATACTATGCCAGTAGTACTAACTAGCAAATATACAAAACTGCACGGTAAATGCACTCGAGCACAAACTAATCCAAAACCCAAACTAATAATAAAATAGAGTGAGATATGTACAATGAATAATGAACAAGAGGAAAAAAAAAAAAAAAATATATATATATATATATATATTGTTTTTATTTTTATATATATATATATATATATATATATATATATATATATATATGCAAGGCAGAGTATACGAAGATTGGAGTATCTCGTCAATGTTATTTAACTCGACTCAAACTAGAATTAGTTGGACCAATTGATTCTGCAATTGATCATGTGACTAGTTATTTGATCAAACAAATCGATACAGTTTGGACTGGCTTTATTGTTTTTTGGAAAATTTGGTAACTTGTGATTTATAGAGCTGCCTAGGTTATGCTCAAGGAAAATTGAAATGGCGACACATGTGACACAATGTTAGAGTCAAATAATGTGTGTAAAGAGAATAAGACAGTTTATTTTTTACTTTTTATACTTACCGTATATATTTTTATTATTATCGACCTTCCTAATGTTGACATTATAAGTGATCCATTCTTATTAGTGTCACTTAGTTTTGTTGAGCATTTGTGGACAAAAGTTTATAAGGATTTTTTCTTTCTTTGAATATATAGAAGAATTTTGTAGTTTCATTGACATCTATCTTTGATTTATTGACATCATAAATACTTCTATTTTAAACATATTTAACGGAGAATAGGTCCTCTCATATAAAACTTTTAATTAGATTTTCGTGTACGAAAATCTTCTAAGAGTGCTCGTTCAATGTTTTTTTTTTCTTTCTCTCAAGAATATAAAGTCCAAACAGATTTGTCATTTCGAGGAGAAAATTTGGGAAATGGAGTTTGGATTATTTATTCGCGACTCCTGCTACTGTTCTTAGTTCTCTGTTTGATTTGGGTGTGATTTCTTGAAGATCTTGTTGGAGTTGACCCATCCCTTTCTTTTTCAATCAAATGGTTACCTACCTTGAGGCAGATTGGTTATATACATGCATCGATCATCGAAGGACCTTTTTTCTTGAAAATTTTTGTCTACTCGCTTTTATCTTGAGTGGTTAAGCCTTATATTTGGCTTCTATTCCTGAGGATTAAACTATGATATTTCTATCTCAGGAATTAAACTATTTATTTCTGTCTTATGATGGTTAAATATGTACTGTTGTTATTTCTGTTTGTGCAGTTATTAAGCATTTTTCTTCTATTAAATAGTCAAGCCTTGTATTTTGACTTCTACTTAATGGTTAAGTTTGTGCTTGTTAGCTCTTAATCTTGTTAGTTTTTATATATCTTTTAGTTGATCTATCTCTGACATCTTTCATTATATTTTGTTATTTGTATTTTCATCCCAAATTGAAAGTGCTGTAAACATGTTTTAACTTGTAAGAGGCTGTTAGAGATATAATTGTATAAGAGTTAATTAGTAGAGTTATTAATTTTTGTTGCTGATATAATCCTTTTATACATTCATATTCTCAATACATTGTATTTTCAACTTATTTTATTTTTCCCTCTTCCACAGCATGTATTCTAACACTTGCCATTTTGCCAAAAAAAAATACTAGTCTAATTAGATAAAGAACAATCAGTTTATTCCCTCTAATCCATTTTATTTCTCAAAAAACAAAATATTGGATTCAG